TTGTTGCATGAGAATAATGGACGATTTGATTCAATTTCATGGAGAGAATTCGTCGTATCGAAGCAGCCGTGCAATGCTTCCTAGCTTTTCAGTTCACGCCTCATTTGCTCCATACACGACGAATTCTGTCTATGAAACAGTGTTTGTTTGTTGTTCAGGTTCATTTTTAGGATAGCTCGGGGATTTGGTCTTTGATGGTGATATTTGCTCGGTTTTCGAAGTCTATGCATCAGAGAATATGGAATAAGATGATCGCAAACAGATGCAATGAGCTGTAGTCGTTCCTCGTTCGTCTCATATTTGACCTTAGCTAACTCAAGACCTCGTCGATTGATGTTAAAACACATTGCTGGTTAACGTTGTCTGTTCAGACGCGGGCAAGTCATGATATAAGGGCTTAAGGCCAAATTTCAGAACATCCATCGGAGTATATTACCGGCTATTGCTGCTCTGTTTCAATAAAGTTAGCTCTCTGTCGACTCTCATTTCGTGGTTCGGTCCTATCTAAAACAAATAGGTTGTTTTTATTATTGTTATTGGTGGGTTGCGTATGCAATCACAGTACTATCTCAGAAGCTCAGATGAGCTTTTTGAGATTACAATACAACTCTGACTGGAATCGATAGCTTTATTGATCTACTGAGTAATTAAGCAAGTGCGATTTCATCGTAAACCATGTATCATGGGAACAAGTTTTCAATGGCTAGTTCCCAAAATAATCCTCCATGTATTACGGTATGTGAATATACCTGTCTGTAGGTTTATACGGAAAGTTTGTGGAAAATAGACTGCCATAGCTTTTCGACGAGAAGAATTGATCATATCACAAGTTAAAGTTCAATCAAGGCTGTCCTCTTGCATCGAAAAATAGTTCCTGTTCCCAGTTGTCCAATCAACACGATACTTATGGGAATCCCTGTTAGTATTCCGTTTTCGTTTTACTGCTCTTGATGTTGGTCTGGTAACTTATCATCCACAGACAGGATTCATGTAGGTACATGTGGTCTGCATGACGAGACGGTAAACACTGAATCCATACAAAATGGATTGCCCAGCCAAGTGCCATCCATTTTGATCGACTTGTCTCTTATCAACGGTGCTGTCAAACGCGCATGCCCCGGACTACGAATGTTTTTTTGTTCACTGAGACTATCAATCCCTGTCCCAGAGGCCTTTGGGAAGGATTTCCGACCACAGAGCTGTTCGTGTGAAATCCTTTCGTTGTTCACTGTCCAGTTCTTCCCCTTTTTGGTATACCACGTTCTTTACTGAATTTTAAGCCTAAATTTATTGCAACACAAATATCGATAAGCATGATAGGTTGTTTGTGGCACTGCACTAAAATTGGGAACATGTTGTCTCATATGCATTCATAGCCTTAAACCGATTTCTTCGCCTCATTCACCCTCTGTTGTTTCCTAGTGCCTGGTGACTTGGGGTTTGTTGTTTGTCATCGGGGATAAAACCCA